CTTGTATTCTGTTTTTACATCATGTACTATGTTCATCCTTTGGTTTGACCGACTCTGCTTTGTTTTGTCACATTTGGGTTTTATTCTCCTCCAAAAAAAGTAATAAGAACTGTGGGAGTAATAAAACCCCAAATGTTTAAATGTTGTTGTCAAAAAGAAAGGAAAAGAAAGTGCTCTAAAGGACACAACTGCAAGTGTGTTTAGGTGTGTAAGATAGATGACCATTTACTAAGTTTTTGTTGGATCACTGAACACAGTTGTTTGCAGTTTCACTGTTTGAATGTCCACTTTGTATACTTAACTTTGTAACTTGATCAACTATTTCTAAGATGACAATATGTAATTTATTAACGAGTGATTTCTTACTGTTTTTGTTTTGAAATTTTGTATTACTTGTACCCTTTTACTGTTTTTTTTGTTTGTTTTTTTTCTATTTAAATAATAATAAAAAAAATTACCAGAAATACTGGAAGCCTCCGCAAATGTTCAGAATTTAATTGCAATGAAGTTGTTTTGAAATTCATTTTTTAATGTTTTTACCATTTTTAAAATATTTTTATGAAGGATATTAGTCAGCATTTTGTCACTGTAATGAAGTACCTGGGATAGTTTATTTATGAGAAAAGAAAATTTTAACTCAGGGTCACATGTTCTAGTCCCTCATTTAATGAGCACATTTCTTTGCACCCTTAATAAGGACAATGGATTATATTGGTAGGAGAGCAAGTCAGAGTGAGTGTTTAGGGAGCAGAGAGGAGTAGAAACTTGAGTCCCATAATTATCTTCAATTGAATGCCCTCAGAGACCTAATGTTCTCATAGTATGCCTCACCACTTAAAAGATCCACAATACATTCAATAACCCAGCTTGGTGATTGATCCTTGACATGTGGATATTTTGAAACTATTCATCCAAAGCATAGTGAAGGGATCACTTTTCAAACGTCCTACTTTCCTGTAGATTTTAGGTGAGATCTATGCTTAAAATTGCTGAAATTTCCATCTAGTCTCATCATTGCAAACATTTTACTGTGCAGCACTAATTATAACAATCAAAGGGGGTATCCATAAAGGTATTTCCTGGTATTTTGAAACCATTACTACCTAATAAAACCAATTCAGTACATCTAAACTTATATTGATTTTATGGAAAATTTCTATTCATAGGAAGTCTTATTTATACATAATATTTGAGATTTATTGTATCTATTCTTTTAATAAAAGTCCCAATTTTAACCTAAAATTCATCTTCCTAATATCCACAGGAAGACTGTCAGTCAGGCAATCTGTCAGAATTTTACTCCATCTCTAAAGAAGTCATCAAATTTATGCATAAATAAAACGCTACTCTGTAGAGAGAAGTTATTTTGAGTTTCTGACTTAGTGTATACTCTTTCTTGTACTCATTTTCCCTACCAATATTATTGCCCATCTTTTTTAGAAGAGAAGAGAAATACAACATCAGGAACAGTGGGTCAGGGTGACACAGAATTGACATAGCTTGCAAAGGATGATCAGTTGCAGAGGCAGCAACTCATCCATTGGTAGAAATGGTAGTAGGACCAACAACCACCTTGGGTAACCCCTTCAGACATCATCATCTATATCCTCACATTCAGCAAACAAAACCTATTCATAAGTATGACAGTAAGAGATGAGTTCTCTATGTGATAACCAGCTACTAGATATGAGAACGTATAAGTCCTGAATTATTTGGATATATTTCGGGAAAATGAATTATTTTGGCAAAGTAGATGAAAACAAAGCTATCGACATACTATTTTATAGTTATGTGTTGGTAGTCTGTGTTATGTTTTCTATCACTGTATTTATACAATTAGACTTAAAAACATGACTTATTTTTATTTCTAAATAGTAACAGTATCAACTAATATTCATTAGACACTACATTTCTCAGCCACCATTGTGTATTTTTTATTTTTATAGATAACAACCTGAAAATCCAGGCCTGCTTTCTTTCATAAACTGTATATTAAATAGGAGTAAACTGAAATAAAGAAAATTTAAATAACTCACCAAGCATATGTGTTTTGTTTTAAAAGAAGAATTTTAATATTACGGTGAAATTTAGGAGGCTACACTTTCAACCCCTAATTGTACTACCTTCTATAAATACAACAAAACAATATGCTGTGTAATTTAGCAGCAAAAACAAAGTTATGTAAGTGTCTATGTCTAGTGTTTCAGAGTATCAGTTATTCCATTTTTAAATGTGGATGAAAAAATCGTGGTGTCATTTTTTTTTTTTTTTGCTCAAAGTCTGGCCCTTAATTTTATTCAGAATTAAAGAAAAATTAGAAAAATAACTTAGTAGATTCATATTTCTTGCCTTTCGCTCATCTTCTGTCTTTCTCCATTCACCTCATTCTTATTGGTCATTGGTCACGGCTACTGGCTTCTATGATACTTTTGAAACACTAGGAATTATCAAGACTTTGTCTTGGTTTACTTTTCTGGAATAACAACATGAAATCCTCTTCATCTTCGGGAACATTTTGCTAACATCGTATATTTTCAGCATGACTTATGCTTATTATCGCGTTTAATGCTGCAACCCTCCTTCTGTACTTCTAGATCACTCATTGCTGGGCTCTAGTTTCCTTGCTGTCTTCTCTCCCTCTCTACCTTCTGTCTTACACTGACTGTAATAGCTGTGCATTTCCTGTTTCTATTGTCAGAAAGTCAGTGCACTTCTATGAAGTCAAGGAATCATCTTCCAACATAGGCTAAATGTCCATTTATGGAAAAAAGAGTAACTTTCTAAATTGAAAAACTATAAATATTGACCAATGCCCTCCTACTTTGAATAGTGCGCTTTACTAAGTCTATTCTTAAATTCTGTCTTTTGTGCTTTTCACATACTGAATCATCTACTAGGGCATTCTTCTCCCTCATCTTTCTGATAAAATGAATATTCCCAAAGAGATTAATGCTTCCTTCTCATGAGCTCACAGGATAGACAGTTTGAAATATTTCTATGGCCTAAAACAATCCATTTTAACTTATCTTTTGATCTCATTTTAGCCAAAAACTCTACCCTTCTTATTGTTTATCTCTAGTTCTGTATCTATAGCATCCATCATTGTGACCTCAAGCATGTTGAGATACTAACAGAAATATTTCCAAGCCTCTAATTAATTAAGTAAACAAGACTCATTTCCTGATATCTTTACCAAAACTCCCATACACCTAAAAGAGGCTTCTTAATAATTTAATAATCTTGTCTCTGTGACAGGTTCATGGTATGGATTTGTTCTAAAACTAAGAGCTTGGAAAAAAGTTATTTGATTCTTTTGCAGACAACATTGTATTTGTATTCTCTCTCTTTCTCTCTCTCGCTCTGTGTGTGTGTGTGTGTGTGTGTGTGTGTGTGTGTGTGTGTGTGTGTATGTGTGTGTAAGAGACAGAGACAGAGAGAGACGGAAACAGAGATGCATACAGAGAGGGTGAGTGTATACATGCATGGTATACATGGTACTACTGGAGACTGCAGGGCTGGGGATTTAGCTCAGCGGCATAAGTACCTGCCTTGCAAGCAGGCAGTTGTGAGTTTGATCCCCGGTACCGATAAAAATGAAAAAGACAAAAAAAAAAAAAAAAAAAACCTACCGGAGACTGCACCTTGGTAATCTACCAAACATCAGACAACTACATCTACAATCCTTTTCTTTTTTTAAATGTTGAAATGAAAACATGTGTAATCAAAAGTTTCAAACTTTTCGCTTTACCCTTTGTTGATGCTGGGTTTAGAGGTGTGTACCACCATACCTGCCACCATACAGCATTTATATATTGATGAAGCAAAACAGATTAGCATGTGTTTACTGCATATTGGTTGTTATGTATGCACATAATCTAGAGGTAAGAGAATAGAATGAGTTTTAAGACTAATATTGGACTCCTGTGAAGTTATTTTCTCAGTACTTTCAAAAGCAGCCCTTTTACATTAAGAGATGCAAGATGCATCTCCAATATGTCTCTCTATAGCTTATAAATCATACAAGTCAGAAGAAGACATATATTTAGAAGAAGTAATTTAAGAAGAACAATATAATCAAATTCTCATTTTTGGTTTCTATGTAATTAATACTGTCAGCTTATTAAAGAATTAGGTTAGCTTCCCCAGAATTTTCAAGGAAAAAAAATTTATATAATTTAATTCTATAATTTAGCATGTCTTTTTGTGTTAACCATGATCTTTCTCCCTCTTCCTGTATGGTTCCAAAATAAGCCCTAATTAATTAACTTGCATGGGATCAGACTTTTGTATCATATCCAGAAATGTTAAAGTAACCTAGAGTGTAAGCCTTATGGTATATACCTGAATGTCCTCCATAGGTAGGGCTTTAGGGGGTTAATGCATATGGAGGTGTGATGCTCATGACTGGATTGGTCCACTGTGAAGTGTACATTAACTGTGCTGTTGCTGGATGAGGTGTGGTCCTAGAAGGTAGTCACTGTGTCTGGGCCTGGAAGTTTGTATCTATTTACTGCTTTCCTTGATGTCTCTCTGCTTCCAGCCACCACACCATGAACTATTTCTCCTTCATCATGCCCCTCCTTCATGTGATCCTGTCTTGGACCCAGCCAATCGTGGACTGAAACTATGACCCAAGATAAACTTTTTATTCTTTAAACTATGATTGTTAGGTAATGTGTTTCAGTAATGCGAAAGTATCAGAGACAGGAAGGTTTTACTTTGATTGTTAAAAATTTGTTCCTAGAGAATCCTGTATAAACTGACATAGATAAAATTATTGATATGCAGATTAATGTCTTATTTTGTATGTTTCTTCTGTATTTTCATTCAATCTTCTACACATTTCACTGAAACTGAGATGAAACAACATGTAAATATAATGGTAACAATCATTTTCAAATCAAAGTAGTTGGTATTAAAAGGATTCCCTTTGACATAAGAGAACTTTTTAACATGGTCCCAGAGTGCTAAATAGTGTGCAAATGCAAGCAGATACACACCGACAAGGATGGAGTAGAGGATGCCTGGTCTATCAGATGGTGGCTGAATATTCCGATCCTGATCAATGGCTTGGATTGGTGGGGTAACAATAATGGGGTTCAATTCTTCCTAGAAAAAAATTCAGAGAGTTTAGTTCAGCCACATTACTAACACAATTTATACTGCAATATTTCAGATTAGAGTTAAATATCAATGAACTCATAGTTAAACCAAATTTAAAACTTTGTAAAATAACATTTTATACCAGTTAATTGTTGTTGTTTCTCTCTCTCTCTTTTTTTTTTTTTAAGAAGGGTCTTGTTATATAGTTCAGGTTGGCCTCAAATTCATGATAGTCCTCTTGCCTCAGCCTCTGAAGTGCTGGGATTTTAGGCATGAGCCACCATACCCGGCCTCATACTAGTTAAATTTGAATCTGAAGAGGGGAAAACATACCTAAACTACAAAATAATAAGACATAGTAACTTTGTTTATAGAATTTTTATTTTATTTATTTATTTATTTATTTTCGTCTTTTTCGTTTTTATCGGTACCAGGGACCGAACTCATGACTGCCTGCTTGCAAGGCAGGCGCTTATGCCACTGAGCTAAATCCCCAGCCCCGTTCGTAGAATTTTTAACATAAATCTAAAACAAAATCATGGAAGGTAGGAATACACTTTTAAACTTCTAGACGTACTGAAAAGAAACATGAAGCAAAGCAGAGTTTGTGATGAAAAATTTTGCTTTCTCCTATAAAAAATTATTATATGTATATATACATATTCTTTCCTGTTTAAGATTTTTTTTTGCATTTCATATAAATTTATTGCATTAGAATGAAAAACTCCAAAAATAGATACTTTAATTCTACAGAAATCTAAGCAATATCACTTAAGTTTCATACAATAAAAGTTAGCAATATATTGTGCAGACCAGCACATTTAATTTATAATGCTCTACAAAATTATTATATTTAAAATTATACTGCTTTATATCTTAGTTTTTCAACTTAATGCCCAGTGATTTTCTGTTGTGTTGCCAAGACTTTCTTGGGAAAGGACAAGAAAACAAATATATTTAGACTTTTCCAGCTACAGGCTTTTGTTTCAGCTACTGAATTCTTCGATTAGGACACATAAGCCACAGTGGGGAACAGTTAAGTTACAATAAAATCTTATTTAGGAAGTCAGATGAAGAATATATTGCACATAGTTATTGACCTCTTTGTTAACAGCAGATATGATGGGAAAAACTTTAAAAAAAAATATTTAGATCTACATTATGTATGTACAAAGATGAACAGTTCAATAAATACTCTTAGTTAACATTATAAAAACAAAATATTGTATTAGACAATTTACAGTTCTGCAAGCCTTTTTGAAGAACATAATAATATTTGCACATATTCTAGAAATTTCATTAACATCTCGAACGAATACACTCAGAATATTGTTTGGAGATCATTACTTTTTGTGTTTTTCAGTCATCAGCCCAAATATATAAGTAACAATTCTAAAGGAAAATAGTTTATCTCTATATCTGACAATTTCACATTCTGAGAAAATAATGTTTCTGCAATTATTTATTTTGACATGACAAAACATGGAAATATATTCCTTCCTGTTTTGCAAAACTAATAGCTTCATTCTCAACAGAGATATTTAGTGATACTGTGCTAGAAAAGAGCAATGGTTAAGATATCACAAGTAGTATTCATTTTCATTAAATTATAATAAAGGTAACTATTGACCAATCGGTGGATAAATTTTCAGAGCTTGTTATCATTAATGACCTCTCACAGTGAAATACTAAATGTTTTCCTACGTAAGGAGGGAATGATATAAGCAACTTTCCAATGTTCTACTTTTCTTCCTAATTTTAAATTTCATACCATGAAAATATTCAGCCAGTGTCAAAAATTTCTTCAAAAAATCCAGAAAATTATTCGTTCTTTAAAGTACACAAACAAAAGCATTCGAACTAAACCTTTCCTCTCGCTCCCTTCCTTCCTTCCTTTCTATCTTTCCCCTGTACCCGTCCTCCTACCTCTCTCAGGAAATCTTTTTTTTTTTTTTTTTCCTTTTTGGTACCAGAAATTGAACTTAAGTCCTTGTGTTTGCCAGGCAGACGCTATGCTGCTGAGCTACACCCCCTGCCCTTTCAGTAAATCTTAATATTTAGTTTAATTCATATAAAATACCTATGTTAAACCCCTAAATAAAAAAAAAAAATCTGAGGCTTTTAGAATATGTATGTGTGAACATAACAATTATGGCTTTACCAGTTTTTACTACTTATTTTTTAAAGGAATCTGATCATATCCACCAGTTGGCATATAGTTAAGCTTTATTATTAGTGGTTCAGCTATTTAAGTATGTGGGAACTTTTCCAAAAATGAGGTACTACTCAGACCCAGAGAGGCATTTCAAACCTGAATATTCATTGTGTCTAATCCAGACGACTATGATAAGCATGAGGATTAATCTTGATTGTTAGCTTTACTGGCTTGAAAGAATGCTCAGAAGATTAGTAAAGCATATTTCTGGGTGTGTTCCGGTGAGCCGAGAGTGTGACCTTAGGGATTTGATGTGGTCCCTGCCCTTCCTGTCTGACTCTCCCTTTCTTTTTGCTTCCTGGCTGACATGATTTGCCCACTTTTCTTCTGCCATGTCCTCTCTCATGCCTTTTCTACACTGAGTCCAGTGGATCATAGACGGAAACTTCCAAAACCACCAAACTCTTTCTCCTTCAAATTGTATGTGTGCGGCATCTTGTCAACAGTGATGACTAATGCAGAAAGGAATTCCAGTCTCTGACTTTTTTTCTGATTTAATGAGTTCTTTTATCTGTGTTTTCAAAATTACAGATTACAGACTTTGTTAGAGTGCTTGCAATAATGAAGTAACCCTGCTAATCAACCTCACTCCCATTACCATGTAGGTTTGCCAAGTTACTAACACAAAGGGAGACTTAGTTTTGATAGTTGTATAGTTGAAATTCTTCACCCACAATATCAGGAAGATAATATATATTGAATGCACAGTTGAATTTTAATAATATTTCAAAAATTACATAAACAATATAAAAGCTAACAATAACATACCAAACAAAATCATACTGAGGGAAAAGTACTAATTAATTCCTCATTTTGCAAAGTTGTTTGTTAATTGTCTTAGTTACTTTTTCATTGCTGAGACAAAATACCCAACACCCAAAGTTAAGAGAGAAAAAGTTTTGGCTCAAGTTTGTGGAGGTTTAGGTCCATAATTGGATGACTCCAAGGCAGAGTTGTTTGGCAAAGAACAGTTCGCGGTGGGCAGACCGTAGCAAAACAGCAAGGGACCTTCGAATCTTTCTGCCCCTCTTATCTTAACCAGAATACTTAAGCTGGTAGCACTCACACTTTTAATCCTAGAGCCCTTCAGCCTAGTACTGCACCATAAATCAAACTCGATGTCACACACTCTAGATCCAGCCATCTCTGAAAAGGATCATTGCAAATGGCTTTGGAGGGACCACTTAGCCACAAGCCATAACAATCCATAACTAGCCATTAATGACTATCACATCATGGGGAGTGGAAAAATGAAAAGAAATGCTATTTAGAATTATGTAAATAATTATGAAACATAAAAATTAAAATAGTAAAGCCTGATTATACAAGAAAACTGGGTCTGGAACTAAAGAACACATGGGAATAAAAATAGTTTACCTAAAGTCACTCAGTATCATTTGGCTATATTATCATCGAACTTTTCACAATTTTTAATACTATCAACAAATAAATTCTAGAGCAAACAATTCAAAGAAACAATTCTAGAAACAATAATTCAAAGAACAAATAAACTCTAGTAGTGAATAAGAAATGAAATGAAATGAAACTCTAGTAGTGAATAAGAAAAGAAATGCTTTTGGTAAAGCTACACTAAGTTTCTGGAAATATGTAAGAAATAGTATTTTAAAGTGTCTTCTTTAGAATTGATATTTTTTCTTGACTTTTAGAGACCAATAACTTAACTTGAAAGAATTTTTCCCTCTATTACAATTAATGATTGTGATTATGGTTTTAGAATGAATATTCAATAGTGTCTAAGAAATCTTTGAAGTAGTCTTATTTCAATCTTGAACATTTAAATATTAATAGTACATAATTGTGAAAATTGGGTTTAGTTAAGAAGAAATAGTTAAAATTTTAAGTGATTTTTATAAAAATAAGTAAAATTTATTTGTTATATGGTTATATATGTATACATTAGAATAAGTAACAAATAACATGCATCAATCTTTATACACTCTCCCATTAAAATATTTACAATAGATAATACAAGGCTGGATATTGAGAGATTGAAGACTCTACTTAGAAACAAGACAAATTTAGGGGAGCAATTATTTAAGAGTTTTGTACAGAAAGCAAAACAAGGAACTTGCTTTAGACAAAGTAGCACATATCCTTGTAGCCAACTGCACACGAAACATGTATTTAATGTTAACCAGGTACGAGGTAATAAAAGTAACCATTTAAATAATATATAATTATCATATATAATCCATTTCATACTATATTTTGAAGACAATATAATTTTAAAAAATAAAGTCATATTTTAAGTGATACGGAAATCTCAATATAGTTAAAATAGATACCAGTTAAAATATATTATGTGGACCAGAGACAGTGCTCTGCAACACAGTGCCTGCCTGGCAAATGTGATGTCCTGAATTTGATTCTTGGTAAAAAAAATTAAATATAATGAATTAATAAATAGATCTTGAATTATAATATGTGTAAAATTTTAAAGCATCACACTAAACCTCAAAATATGTAGTTATGTGTTAATAAAAAAATGTTTGTATAAGTACTTGGAGACCTTGCCTTAATGCGGTCTTCATACCTGTAAAGGGTCTGTATTCCTGAGCTAGAGAGGCTAAATAGCTGTCTTGTGTTCTCTTTTTTACTTCTTTCCCCTCCATCCTTCTAATTCATAACAGTCTTCCACTAGTTTAGGCAAAAATTTTGATTTAAATCTCATATTTACTATGGTGATGCAAACGTTTATCTCTTTGTGTCTACACTAATATTGTAGCAGAGCAGTGAATAAAGACAGAGCAAATACCAATAGCCGTCTGCC